AATTACCTACATCTGCCTACTGACAGGGCTGGAATTACAAAATGAGATTGCAAAAGATAATATTTTTATTTTTAACGAAATTGAGTTAGTTTCTTCTATCACAAAACAGCATAGCTCTTTCAGTCTTCTGCCAGAAGGGGTCAGTAAAGGAACATCGTTTGTTCAGCTCTTCCAGTGCTGACTTCCAGCACTAACTAATCTGTATTTCAGAGGGTTTATATTAGGAAGAATCAAACCAGTGCTTTGTGAAATTATTTTTACATAGATTCTAGGGCTGAGAAACCTCAGATAACTCTGGGGGGGGGGGGCGGATTTCAACTTATTCTAAAGATTTAAAATGGACTTTAAACTCCTGGAGACCAAAGTGGAAATTTTTTAGGCGAAAAGTGGAATAAGAAAGAAGTAGGTTGTTGGAAGACCAGGACAACGAGGTTAAATTCATAGTGATCTTGGGAAGTTTCTTCTCTGTACTGCAGGCCTGCAAACTTCTATTTGCAGTGTTCCGCTCCCTCCTATACGCTGACTAGAGACAGCTGGCACTCAGCAATGCTTTGTGAAAGGGTTTCCATCACAGCACCCACTTAGCATATTCAAGCGCACCACCAGGAAGATCTTTTGGAGTAGGAATGTTGAATCGGACAGAAGTGGTAAAAAGAACAGTCTGCCAAGAAGAGATGAAAAGCCATTCCACCTCTCTCTTAAATGAGGGGGTCAGATAAATATGGTCAACTCGGGAACCTGTTGTATGTTGGGCATCTGAGGTTCTACACTCTGGCGTTATGATTTTGAACCACTGCTGCAGCTACCACTACTACTATTCCTGCTGCTGCAACTGCCATTCTCTCTACTGTGAATGTGAGCCTGGCACGGTGCTAAGGGCTTCACACTAATAACCTTTTAAAAGCTCCAAAACAACGCCATAAGGCCAATGGTACCATTCTTACTTTAGAGAACGGAAAGTTGAGGGTCAGAGTAGTTAAATAAATTGCCAAGTTCACAAAACTAAACCAGTAGTGAAGACTCACCTGATCCTAAACCTTCTGACTCCTGCCCTCTTAACTACTATTATGAATTACATTTTACTCCCGTAAATCTTAGGAAGGTAGGTTAAAAAAATTCTATTGCAGTTCCAAGTCACATATGTACAAGTTTATTCCAAACCAAACATGTTTAAACACGTCTCTGTGATCAGTGGATGGCTGCAAATTCTCTCATTAAAACCCTTGTCTTAGTATCTGTCATCAAGCAGCTAACCATTGGGTTGCTAACTGCAAGGTCAGCGGTTTGAAACTACCAGCTGTTCTGAGGGAAGAAAGACGAGTTTTTCTGCTCCTGCAGAAAGTCACAACCTCAGAAGCTCACAGGTACAGTTCTTCCTTGTCCTGTAGGGTTGCTATGTTGACTTGCTAACAGTGATTTTGGTTTTTGGTAGTATCATTCGGGTGCCTTCGAAGACAAGGTCCAATCAAAACAGTGGCTTCTGGGGCCTCTGCTCTGCTGGACCGTTTAAAGCAGAGAGGTCAGTTCAGGTGATTAGGGCAGCTGCCTGCCCTCCACCCAAATTGACAGATTTTCTTGGAGGACACAGGATGATGATTGGGACTTATTATGGAGAAATTTCAGGAAAACTGCAAACTGCAAAGGAAAAGACCATAAGAGCTGTATCAAGAACCCCCCCCCCCTACATCATTACAAGATGCTTGCTCATTCTTCAAGAGTCAGGAAGGCCTAAGAGAATGTCGTTGGGGAACCTGACTCCACCCACCGTGCAGCATGAATATGGCCACTTCAGGCTTCTCTTTGGTTTCCTCAAACTCAAGAACATTTGAGAAGGATAACATCGGAGTCCCGTGAGGATGCCCACACTCCTGTTTTCACATTTGTCACATGAAAAGTGCAGAGCTCTTCAGAGGATGGGTAGGGAGCTGGAGATACCTCCTTTAGCAGTGTCTATAGGTAGGCCTACTTGAAGGGTATGTCGAGAAGCAATAGCTTCACAATTTTGATAGTTTTTGTTTAATTAAGATTTGGCAGCAATGTCTTTTGACTTGCTCTAGGAGGTGGAATCCTGGGATCGGTGGAAATGATGTTGTTTGTAAATAAGGTCTAAGGTAAGTTGCAGCTTGCTCCAATCTGGGTGGAGAAGTAAAAGTGAGACTGAAGGAAGATGCCCTGTAAAACTGGAGTTGGGCTGCAATTGCAAGCCGAACAAATAAACACGTGAAGCCAAACCAAGACACGTGACTGTGTGAAGGTGGAGAGATAAGAAGGGATAGTTCCCCAGAGCCAGAGTGGTGAACATAGCCCTGTTGCAAACCTGTATTCAAACCCCATCCTCCAGAATTGCAATACAAAAATTTCTCTTCTTACTTGTGACCCAATTTGTGGCATTTTGCTATAGCATCACTAGGAAATGAATAAAACCACTGTCTCATATTTTTCTTTTTCCCAGCATTTTCCTCTTCTCCAGTTACATTAGAAATCTGGCACCTTACTTAACTGAATTACTTAACTCTTTGAATTCAAGCCTTGACTTCCGCTCTTTCCATTTTTGATAGTTTACGATGCCATTGTCTTTATATTGCCCCGAATGCTGCTGTGATCCTGGAAACTATGCCCCTGGAAACTGTGCCCCTGGTATTTCAGATAGCACCAGGGTAACTCATGGGGGACAGGTGTCATTGAAGCATTAGTTTAAGACAGACTATGAAGAAGGACCTGGGTTCTACTTCTAAAAATTTTTTTTTGACCAATGAAAACCTTATGAAAATCAGTGAAATATTATATGATAATAGACCGAAGGCACTCAAAATAGTCAACTGCCTCCAATTCTTATTCACCTTTCAAGTTCTTTTTTATTCCTATTCTCTTTTCTGACTGCTTTAGCCCATACTAATCTGTTTTCTCCTGGGATTTTATTACATTTATAAGCTATTTGGTATAGAGTACCATCAACTCAATATTGTCTCTTATTTTGCTCTGTGTTTTAAATAAGTTAGTCTTGTCAATATTAACTGTAGTGCAAGGCTCCTGAGAACAGAGAACACATCTTAGTCTTTTTAATCTTTGCTGCGAAGAGCCCAGGGTTGCATAACAAGTTGGGGATCAATAATTTCCTTTTGTTTGCTGGAGAGAGACCTCGGGCAAAAACGATCCCCTTTGCTTCTAAGAATTGTGAGATCCTCTGAGAAAAGTAGTTTTCCAGTCTTGCTTACGAAAAAAAATACCTAAGAAATCTCAACAATCTCTGGCAAAAATAGTCTTATTTCACAAGGTTATTAGGTGAATTATTTTTATTTTCATGCTTGGTATGCAAATAGGCTAATATTTATTGGTCACTTATATGGAGTACCGTATTTATTTATTTTTTTGCTCAGGGAACCTCATAAGGAGAATAAGTATCCTTACTTTAGGTAAGTGATTCAGCTAAGGTCCCACAGAGCCATTAAGTGGGACTTCACTTATCTGGTTTTATTGCAGGTTTAGTGTTCCTGCATCTGAGCTGATTCCCTCATGTTATAAATTAGCCTATTTCTATAAGTGAAAAAGTGTAGAAGTCTGTCCATTTCATTGCATCTAGAAAGGTATCTGTTGTTAGTTGTCATCAAGCTGATTCCAACTCACAGGGACCTTGTGCACGTCAGTAGAACTTGCTGCCCATAGTTTGCAAGACTATGCCGTTCCAGAAGCCGATTGCCATGTCTTCCAAAGTGCCTCTGGGTAGGTTCCAACAGCCCACCTTAGTCTTATAATTGAGTGCTTAACTGTTGGTGCCACTTTGGGTCTTCATAAAGTTGCCTAGGGTTTAAAACTCTTTTGGTTAATTATAAATTCCTACTTTCTAGATCGTCAGCAAATGAACAGCAACAACAACTTTAGATATTGTCCTTCTATCTGAGTGCCTATTGAGAATTCAGACTTCTTCGTTGTCATAACTACCACTTGTCTGTCAGTTTGTCCATCTGTGGCAGCTTTCCTCTTTCAATGATGCTAGAGACTGTGCCCCAGTATTTTAAATAGCAGCAGACCATCCATGGTTATCCAACCGTGGTTTCCGTGTCCATCAAGCCTAAGACAGACTAGGAAGAAGGACCTAGAAATCTACTTAAAGAAAATTGACCAATGACAATTTTAGGAATAGTTGCAGAACTTTGTCCAGTAATAGTGCCAGGAGTTGAGCCCCTCACCTTGCATGGAAGGCATGCAAGATACTCACCTGCCTCCTTAAAGAGACAGCTTTGAGGATGCGGATGGAGTAAAGCTTGCAGGACTTTCATGTGGGTATTAGATTGCTCAGTCTCTATGTCTTCGTCTTTATGTTTCTGCTCATTTCATTATTGATTTATAATTTTATAACATTATGTTTTGATAAGATAGGTTGTAGGACCTCAATTTAAAAAACTGTGATGAGGCATGCTTTGTGACCTAGTGTGCTATTTATTCTTTATGTTTATGTGTGTTGGAGAAGAATGTATACTATATTTTCTGCATGAAATGTTCTGTATATGTCTATAAGGTCGAATTTATTGATTGTGTTGTTGAGCTTTTTGGTGTCTTTATTGAGTTGTTGTTCTGTCTTTCCCTGAGAGTGGCATATTAAAGACTCCTGTCATGACTGTTGAGGTATCTATATATATATTTTCAATTCTGTGAGGATTTGATTGATGTATTTTGAGGGTCATTGGGTGCATATATTCTATTATAGTTATGCCTTCTTAGGCTACTGTTACCTTAATCATTATGTAGTGTCCATCCATGCCTCTTATTATGCTGATCACCTTGAAGTCTATTTTCTCAAAGATTAATGTTGCTACCCTTGCTTTCTTTTGGTTGCTTCTTGCTTGGTATGAGTTTGTCCAGTCTCTGATTTTCAGTCTGTTCATGTCTGTGTTTATGAGGTGTGTTTCTTGTAGGCAGCATATTGATGGATTTTGTTTTCTTATCCATTCTGCTCCTTTCAGTCTCTTTACTGGTGCATTTAGTCCATTAACATTCAGTGAAAAAAATAGCAAAGTTTTAGGAATTTGTGTGTCATTCTTGTGCAGGGACCATGATACTTTCGTCTGTATTGTTCCAATTTTAGTATATGTGCTACTAAAGATAGCACTACTGAAGTAGCTTGTCTTAGGTATTAGTAATCGGAAGTGGATGGGAACCAACCATTCTGAATGAGCTCAACAGATGGTCTACTGTTCTGGGAATGACAAACTGAAAAGGAATGGCATCACATTCATTGACAAATAATACTTTTCAGGGTCTATCAAAAAGTACAATATTCCAGTGATAGGATAATATCCATATGCCCACAAGGTAGACCAGTTAATATGAGTTCTATTCAAATTTACACACTAACTACTAATGCCAAAGATGAAAAAAACTAGAGATTTTTTTACCAACTCCTATAGTCTGGAATTGATCAAATATATAATCAAGTTACATTAGTAATTACTGGTGATTGGAATGTAAAACATGGAAACAAAGAAGAAAGGTTTATTGTTAGAAAATAAGATCTTGGGGATAGACATGGCACTAGAGATCTTCTGGCAATTTTTTTTTCAAGACCACTGACTTATTCATTGTAAATAGTCCACCAACCCAACAATATAAAGGGTGAATACACATATGAATCCCAGCAAATGGAACATACAAGAATAAGTTCAACTATATCTGGATATAGACAACATAGAAGCTCACAGTATCATTAATCAGAACAGAGCAAGGAGTTAACTGCAGGGCAGATGAAAAATTACTCATATGCAAGTTAATTTGAAGCTAAAGAAAATGAAAACAGGTCTGTAAGAGCCAAGTACGACCTTGAAATTCCCCCTTGCATCTAGAGAGTATTTCAAGAATGGATTTGATGCATTGAACACTAATGACTGAAGACTGTTTGAGTGGAGGTATGGCAGGAAAGATGTCATGCATGAAAAGAAAGCACAAGACCATGAAAAAGATAGAAAAGAAAATGCTGGCATTCGATTTTGAGTATAAAGAAGTTATAGTTACTAAAAGAAATAATGAAAGAGCATAGAAGACAAAGTAAACTATTATAATAAAATGTACAAACACCTGGAAATAGAAAAATAAATAGAAAGAATATATTCAGCATTTATCAAGAGGAAAGAACTAAAGAAAAAATTGAAACCCAAATTGTAATATTGATGGACCGTGTAGGCAAAACATTGAATGACGTAGGAAGCAAAAAAGAAGATGGAATAAACACACAGATGCACTGTGCCAAAAATGATATGCAGCCACTTGGAGATGTAGCATATGATCAAAAACTCATGTAACTAAAAGAAGCCCAAGCTGCACTGAAGGCAATAGTGAAAAACAAAACTCCAGGAATTGATCGAATACCAATTGAGATACTTGAACAAATGAATACATGCTGTTCGTGTTCACTCATGTATGCCAAGAAACTGCCTGGAAGAGATCAATCTTTGTTCCTATTCCAACATAATGCAGAACTTATCAAGTGGCATCATTAATATCACATGGAAACAAAATGTAGCTGAAGATACTTTAAAAAATGATTGCAGCAGTATATCAATAAGGAATTGCTGGAAATTCAAGCTTGATACCAAAGAAGATGAAACATGAGGAATATTATTCATTGCCAATATCCAATGGGTTTTTGACAAAAAGCACAGAATACTGGGAGGATATTTCTCTGGAATTCATTGACTAAGAAAAGGCATTTGATAGTGTATCATGACAAATTATGGGTAGTGTTGCAAAGATAGGGACACAGAATACTTAATTGTGCTGTGCAAAACCTGTACATAGACCCAAAACACAGTAATTTGAACATAATGGAGGGAAACATACAGCATAGTTTAAAATCAGGAAATCTGTGCTTCAGTGTTGTATCCTTTCATCGCACTTATTCGATGCTGAGCAAATAGACTGAGCAGCCGGGCTATATGTGGGAGACTTATTAACAACTTATGAAATGTGATGATGCAATGTTGGTTGTTGAAAATAAAGAGGAGTTGAGGCACTTACTTATGAAACTAAAAGACTAAAGCCTTTAGTATTAATTATACCTCAACATAAAAAAATTATCCTCACAACTGAACCATTAGCAACATCATCATACATGTAGAAAACATTGCAGGTGTAAAATACTTCATTTACTTGGGTGTTCAATCGTCCATGGGAGCAGCAGTCAGGTAAAGAAATGTTTTGCACTGAGCAAATCTGCTGCCCCTAACAGGTCTCATGTTGAAGACTTAGATGCTCCTGATGTACAGGGTCATTCATTCCAACAGCCTCATATGCATGCAAATGTTGGACCATGAGTAAAGAAGACTGAAGAGAAACTGAAGCCTATCAGTTATGGCATTATCAAAGAATATCCAAAATACTCTGGATGGCCAGAATAGTGAACAAATCTACCTTGGAAGAGTTGCGGTTGGAGTGCTTCTTAGAATTGAGGACGACGAGACATCACCCATGTTCTTTGGACCTGTTATCAGGAGGAACCGGTGTCTTGAGAAGGACATCTTGCTTGGTAATGTAAAGGATCAGTGACAAAAAGGGGGATGATTGACGTAGTGACACAATAGGCTCGAACATAACAATTGGGAGGACCCGACAGAATGGGGTAGTGTTTCCTTTCAGTATACACATAGGTTTTCTGGTCATTGGAACCGTCACCATAGAACCTAACAACAATAAGCTGAATAGTATCCTGCCCCAAATAGATCAACATCTGCATGCCCAGAATGTGTGAGTGGTACCTTTTAGGAAAACATTCACTACGTATGTACGATTAAGGTAAGGGTCATGGTATTGGGAGACTATCCTTGATGATCCACTGGACTCTAAATGTAATTACATGAGACTTGATAAAGGGGCAGTAACCTGATAAAGGAAAGCAAGAAGTTCGAAGTCAGAAGATTATGTAATGAGGGAATCGGATATTAGATGCTGCCAGGAGCCAGGTGTTGCTGCTGTCTCTTGACATTACAAGAGGCATACATTATTTCTTAGAATCTCCAGAATGAACACCTCTGTAAGCACCTTTAAGCTCCTCATGACTTGTTTTTAATTTTGAACCCCAGAAGTGTCCGAGAAGAAAGTGTTTGTTTTGAGGCATTTAAGTCATTTTAAGGAAGTTTAAACCATCAAGTCTGGGCAGCAATAGGAAACTGATGCACTAGTGGAGAGTGCTATGAGTACACCCATTTTCAGAAGCTGAGAGGGTGAGGCAGGGCTAAGTCAAATTGGTCAAACTAATTCTTTAACTGTCCTTTTGGAGCCCGAGGGAATGAATCTATTCGGAAGACAGCAACAAGCAAAGTTCCGTCCCAGATGCTGCTTACTATCTGTGGTAATCACTGAGTTGCACAGGGAAAATGTGCAGCCAAGCTCACCTTCCCCTTGGGTTTTTATTTATCCTGATGAGTGAGAAATGGTTTCACAATATATCACACTACTCGTGGTGGTCCAGCGTGAGTTGTTCTTTTTTCTCTTTAGTAGTATTCTTCCCACTTTGTTGTAAATGTTGACTTTCCAGATACCTCTGTCATCAGCACTACCATCAATAAAAACCCAAACCCTCAAACCAACACTAGAAACTGTTGCTACCGATAACCTTAAACCACCTACTTTCACACAGTGGAAGGTCAATGTTGTTGACCAACATTGTCATTTCTGTGCCCAAATAACAAAATAATAAACCTATTGCCCTGGAATCGATAGCAACGTTGTAGCAAAGCACTCAATTTCCCCATAGGGTTTCTGAGACCAAACCTTCATGGAAATGGCTGCAACAGCTTTCTCTGGAGCAGTGATTGTGAGTCGGAATCGCCAATCTTTTCTTTAGCACATAGGTGAGCATATAGCCCCTGTGCTACCAGGGGTCCTACATTTCTTTTTAAAATGTTGGAAAATGTGCACCCGGGAGGTGCTCTTGAATTTAGAGGGATATGAGTAATGCTGAACTACTTGAATTTGACAGTGACAAACTGTCACGATCCACAGCTGTTATGAACTTTATTAAGGAGTTGGCAAGTTAAACCTCTGACGAAATCTTTCCTGGGGATGTGTCAGTGGGGTCGTCCATCAAGATTGCCCAATTCTGTTTTGCCTGATAGATTTTAGATGTCAGTTCAAAAGATGAGAATTTAGAAAAACCCCAGGAAATGAAGGGAGCCACTTAATAAAATGATTAAGAAAAATATTGGAAGATTAGGAACTCTTAGTTTCTGTGTAACATGGATTAGTCACTTAACTCTCTGATCCACAATTTCCAAGTGCACAATATGGAGATAATAAATATTACATTTTAAGTGTGACAAATAAGAGACTATATAGGAAGCCTAAGCAAAGTATCTAGAATACAGAAGATAGTTTAGACTGGTTCAGTTGTAAGCAGTAGGCTCACAACTCAAATGAGTTAAGCAAGAGGAATACGTGTTTATGAGGTAAACATCAAAGGATGGATCTGGATTTGACACTGCTAGATTCAATACTTCAGAAAATGTGATTGTGGAGAGACTAATCTCTGGGACAAGCTCTCTCTTAGAGAAGACAAGGAGAAATTGTTTAGGAACCCAGGGGAAGGAAAGAAGCACCATTTCAAGGTTTTGGGGATACCATGCCCTGGTTCTTGTCAGCATCCCTGACGTGTTGTCACTGTCACCTGAAGGATGGCTGTGTTCTGAGTGGGTAGGTCTGGGTACTATATGGATTCAAAATTCTTTTGTTTACAAGTTTTAAAAAACTTAATTCAAATTGTTTTAAATAATAAGGAAAATATAATGACTCGTGACAGATCTCATTTATACTGTGTCTTCAGAGGTTTGATTTCTTATCTCTTGTGCCATTGACTTCACTACCAAGCTCCACATGGGTCATGACACTTCTCACAGGGTCAGAATAATTTCATATTTCACCCTGCACGATCCAGAGTAAGAGCGATTATCTTCATCCGTGTTCCCGCGTGATTTCTGGCATACTCCCTCTCCTGTTGGCTGGCACTGGGTCACATGCTCATTGCTCAAGCCCAAGGGGGCTCTGTAGTCTGGAAGATGAGTTATATTGTTTGGAGCAACCCAGCAGTCATCCACTCCTTTCACTAGGGACGCAGCTGGGAAA